GTCTGGCTGGCGCATTCACGCAATTGCTTGGCCATCATCCGGCTCTAGGCGACTGGTTGCAGCGTAGCGTCAAGCAAAAGCGGGTGGGCATCGAGCAGATCAGCACCGACGGTCAGCTGCGCACACGGCTGCGTGGCCTGAAGGCCCTGCACGACGACTTTAAGGGCCAATGCCGTCGTCTGGGAATACGCCCAACGGAGTATCCGCTGAACCGCCAACGCGGCGCCGTGGGCTCGCTTTCTAAGGTGACCCGCGATGTTTGCCTGCAGCGCTTCACGCGTGCCGCCCGATTGGCCGGTGCAACGTCCATCAAAGGCATGCCCACCGAGCGCGCGCCCTCGGCCACCCGGCCGTGGGATGTCGTTGAGTTCGACGGCCATCGCATGGACATGCGGCTGAAGATTGTCGTGCGCGATCCAGCCGGCTTCGAACAATCCTTCGAGATTGAACGCGTCTGGTTGTTGACGGTACTGGACGTCTGCACCCGCGCAGTGATCGGTTATCACTTATGCCTGTCGCCAGAGTACACGCGACACGACGTGATTCAAACGATTGAAGCGGCGTTGTCGCCGCATCGGCGGCGAACGTTCTCGATTCCCGGGCTGCACTACCCGACTCAGGGCGGGTTTCCGTCGGCGCAGTTTCCGCAACTGGCGTATGCCACCTGGCAGTGGTTCAAGATGGATAACGCCAAGGCGAATTTAGCGCACGATGTGCGCTCGGCGCTCACCGAGTTTCTGGGCTGCTTTGTCGATGTCGGCCCGCCGCATGCACCGGACGACCGACCCTTTGTCGAACGGTTCTTTCGGACCATCGAACAGAACCTGTCGGCACGTTTGCCCGGCTACACCGGTTCAGGGCCGAAGGATCTGTGCCGGGCGCTCTCAGACCCCAAGGGTAACCTGCGTCTCGTGGTTTCTCTGAACGAGCTCGAAGAGTTGCTCGAAGTCGCCATCGCCCAGTACAACGGCGCGCCGCACCATGGCTTGAACGGATACAGTCCGCTCGAGGCGATTGAATTGGGCCTGCACACCCACGGTACCCTGCTCAACTGGCTGCCCGAAGCCAAGCGACGCACCCTGTTCCTGATGCATGAGCCACGCCGCGCGACCGTGCGCGGTTACCTCGCACAGGGCCAACGGCCACACATCAACTTCTTTGGTGTGCGGTATACCAACGAGGTGCTGGCGGTGAGCCCCTGGATGCTTGGTCAACGATTGCGCATCTTCTACGACGCGAAGGATTTGCGCTGCGTACGCGCCTTCTCTGAGGACGGTGCCGAACTGGGCACGCTGCGTGCCCAAGGCGTCTGGGGCGCGGTGCCCCATGATCTCAAGTTGCGCCAGGAGATCATCCGGCGTCGCACACCGGGCGACAAGACCGACGCGCTGAGCGCCGAGTTCCTTGAGCATTTCGTGGCCAACAAACTGAAGCAGGCGCCAAGGAAACGACGAACGGCCAGCCAATTGGCACAGACTTTGCGCACTCTGGACCAGGGACCCACGACGCCGTTCCCATTGGTTGAGGCTGCGCCGCAGGCAAAGCCCGAGATCGTTGATCGAGTGCAACCCAGACGCGCTGAGATCGAACCGGAGCAACTCACCATCGGCACTGGCTACGTGGGCACGTTGTAGCGCCAACGACACGACCGTCCAGGAGCCGATATGGCTGAATCCGAATCGGGTCGATTCGATCGACCCGTCCACCCCGAGCTGCACCCCATCGAGAGCGGCAACTACCGCGTGGCCACGCCTGCCATCCAAGCGTTCTATCAACTTGTTCAACGCTGCCTGAGGTACCGGATCACCGGAGCGCTTGTCTACGGCCCCTCGCGAATCGGCAAGACCCGAGCCATCGAGTATTTGCGTTTGCTATTGGCCGAGACCTATCCGAAGGTCACTACGTTCCACGTGCAGGCAGAGCATAAACCTCGTCATGCCGAAGGTCCGTTCTTCACAAGCCTCCTCCAGGCGGTTGGGTTTCCCGACCCCGATGGCGGCACCAACCCCACCAAGCGGTTACGACTAATCAACAAGATCCGCGAGTCCTGTACGCGCAATGGCAGCGGCAACGTCATTTTGTTCTGCGATGAAGCGCAGCGCTACACCGAGCACGAATACGAGTGGCTCAGAGACGTGCACGACCAGCTCGATCGGCTCAAGATTCGGTTGTTTACGTTTCTGGTCGGTCAGCAGGAACTGCGCTCGGTGAAGACGGCGTTTCAGCACGCACGCAAGACGCAGATTGTTGCCCGCCTGATGGTCGAGGAATTGGCCTTCTTCGGCGTGCGCAACGCCAAGGATGTCGCCACCTGCCTGCACGGCTACGATGCAACCAGTTTCCCACGCGATAGCGAGTGGAGCTTCACGCGGTTCTATTTGCCGCGTGCCGTGCACAGTGGCTATCGGCTGGTTCAAGACGCCCAGGTGCTTTGGGATCTGTTCGATGAGATTCACCAACACCATGGGCTGCCCGGTGCGCTCGAGTTACCGATGGAATCGTTTGCCCGAGCCGTTGAGATCGTCCTGAAGGAGGGCCATGACCTGGACCGATCGGGCAGTCCGCCCGACCCGAGTCTGTGGCGTGCCGCCGTGCAAAGCAGTGGTTACACGCAATCGCGCGAAGCCGTTGCCGATGTGATGACCCCTAGTACGACCCTGGTGTAGCCATGCACCTGCCAATCCTCACCTTTGAGCAGGGGGCGCTGTCGCCGGCACTCGGTTATGTGTTTCACCGAAAGTGGGTACAGCCATACGAATCCATCGTTGGCATTCTGTGGAAGTTCGCCCGCGCCAACGCCCTGCCCGGTCATCTGCTGTTGCCACAGTTGATTGATACGCCGATCGATCCTTACCAAGGTATCCAGCCTAATGCCAGCGAACTCCACATTCGCCGCGTCCCGAGACAGCTCGGCCTGCTGCAAAAGACCGTGCGTAGCGCCTTGGCGCCCACGCAGTGCGAAGTGAGCGGTCTACATAGTCCGATTCTGCGTTACTGCTTGAAGTGCCTGCGCCTGGGCTACCACGGGGTCGTACACCAGCGGCTCGGCGCACAGCAATGCCCGATCCACGGCGACTGGCTCGAAGAGGTGTGTCGCGGTTGCGGTCAACGTGCCGACTATCGACTCAACGTGGCGCTACTGGATGCATCGTTTCGGTGTGTCACTGCCGTCGCGTATTGGGTTCGTGGTCATCGACCACAGCCCGCGCCCTGCTTCCCCGACATCGGACCGCGGTCACACGGGCGTATCTGAAGCGCTGATCGAACGCATCGCGTCGGGTGACTTGACGACCATCCATGCGGCATTTCGAGCAAACCTAAGCAAAACAGGTGGTTATCCGAGCAAGTTGTCAGCACCGCCCACCGAGTGTCACTTTTACCTTTGCTAAAGTGTCACACTTACTAAGTTCTACGTCAGGACCAATCCGGATACCGCGAGATCGATCTCGCTATCCCCAACCGGAAGATGTTCGTCCGACCCCCGGCGGAACTCGACCCTAGTGTCCGTGATCTGTTGACGCGCCGACGCAAGAAATTCACTTGACGGTTCGACGCCGATGACGTGTAGCGGTTCACAAGAGGCAAGGATTTGGCTCGTCAGCGCCCCAGTCCCGCAGCCGAAATCAAGCCAGTTGCCCTGCTCAACCGGATCGAGCCAGCGGAGAAAACCTTCTCCGATCCGACGGCTCCATCGACCGACATAGATTTCGTAGGCACTGTCATCTGTCCAGTTGTCCTGTGGTGTCGTCATCTGTGATCTCCCTCGGCGCATCGAATGGGTGAATTCGGTAAGTTACTGCAAAGTCGGATGTGGCGATTCAGATTTGTGTCAAATCGAATTTTTGGACGGTTTTAGATCAATAGCCAAAGCCATCTTAGGCCTAAGTCTCCTGGTTTGCGTTTGGTGCAAAGCCGTTTTCTGATTAAGCCGCTTACCAAATCAAGTGCGGCCTAATACAGTGACATCCATAGCATTGATCAACCCAACGCATTTGAAAGGAACCGTTATGAACACAACCAACATTGCCGCAGACATCGATTACGCACGCTTGGCTAAATCTGGACGGACTCTTCGCAGTCAAGCTGTCTTGTCGCTTTTTCGGGCCTTGATGACATCGTTGAAGCAACATGGGATTGAACGACCATCTAGTATTAATCAAGAGCCATCCTGCGCCGCTGCATAGTTCAGGGGGTCGTCAAAGGCCGACAAGTGCCTGGTGAAGATTTCGCTCAGGCAGCAAGCTGACGCTTCGAGAGGGTTTGCTAGACTTGCTGGTAGAAGACGGAGGCATTCATGCGGATATTGATGCTTGGCGCGGGGGCGATCGGAGGCTATTTTGGCGGTCGCATGATCGCAGCGGGATCAGATGTCACTTTCCTTGTTCGGGATAGGCGAGCGGCACAACTTAAGGATGGCCTGAAGATCGAGAGCCCACGTGGCAATGCCACAATTCGGGTGAATACCATAGTTGGTGGCGCGCAGACCGATCCGTTCGATGTCATTGTTCTTTGCTGTAAGGCCTACGCGTTGTCAGGCGCACTCGAAGCTATCGCGCCACACGTCCGTCCCCACATCCCGATCCTGCCACTTCTAAACGGTTACGCACATCTTGATCAGATCCAAGATCGGTTTCCTGAGGCCCTCGTTTGGGGCGGCATTGCAGGCATCGCAGCAACACTGACTGAAGATGGAACGGTGGTTCAAATGAACCCGAACCAGTTCATTACAGCTGGCACTCGGATGGATCAGCCGGACAGTACAGCGGTGCTCGAGGCGCTTGTTTCAGAGATGGTTCGAGCAGAGATTAGCGCCACCGTGACGACGAGCATCGAAGGTTCACTGTGGGAAAAATGGACATTTCTGGCGACTTTGGCGGCGGCGACGTGCTTAATGAGAGGGTCCATCGGCCAGATTCTAGCTACCGATCATGGTGAGCAGTTGATCGCGGGTCTTTTCGATGAATGCAACCAAACCGCAGTCGCTGAGGGTCACCCGCCCGGACCCTCTCCAGCTCAGAATTATCGCGGCATGCTTTTTGAGCAAGGCTCGCCGTTTACCGCGTCCATGCTTCGCGACATAAAGGCCGACAGCCCAACCGAGGCAGATCACATAATCGGAGATATGATCAAGCGAGCGCGGCGACACAGCATCGCAACGCCCTTGCTCGATGTGGCGTATAGCCACCTTCAGGTGTATGAAGCGCAGCGAGCAAAGTAGGTGCGCTGCCGTTTCGATCGTCTCAAAGATTTCTTGGCGCTACGGCGGGCAGCTCTACATCTAACGACTGTTTAGCGGTGAACACTTTGCTAGTAAAGTGTTTACTCCAGTTCAGCCTGTTTGAATAAAACGGCCAGAAACTTGAGGGGTCATCAGTCAATCTTCATCGACAAAACACTCAGCACGATTCTGAACGGTGGCAAGGGATCAGATGCTTTATCAGAATATTGAAGCATGATTTTTGTTTCCCCACCATTGGCCATAGATACCATGTTCTTCACTACTTGCTCAAACGAAGTAAGGCCTATTTCGTGACCACTTCCTTGCACGAGCACGTATTGGATAGGAATGTAGGATTTTGAAATTGCGTTGCCGGATTTGTCTGTTCCTTTCGTTCGGAGATCAGACCCTTCCGCCTTGCAATTGAAGCATTCGCTTCCCTGCGGAGAAAGGCGAAGTTGTTCACCAGAAATACTGAGACTGCCACCATAAAATTGGACTGAGAGATCGCCGCTAAATTTGAGAGTCTTAACTGCATTTTTCCAAACAACATATTCTTTGTTGATTCCCTTTTGCCAATCTGTCATTGACAGTACTGCTTTTCCAGACAACTTGCTGCCTGTCGTCAGCGGTCCTGTCAGAACCTCTCCTGAAGGCAGAATTACTCGATCAATGGTTGATATAAACGTGATATTGAATCGCTGTTCTGCCGCTGCTGACTGTCCTGTTGCGAGCAAGGTC